TATGCGGAATTCTATTCATCACACACACACACGCACACACACGCACACACATTGGCACATGCACACACTAATTCTTGGGCACGCTCGCTCATGTGCACACACAAATTAAACGTGGTCAAGTAAGATTATGTTGAAGTCCACTGACGTCAGCGAAAGAAGGTACGAGTTTTGAATTTTTGTGTTTTTTGTTTTTTTTCCTCATAGGTACTTAAATATATAACAGTCAAGTATTGCTACACTCCGAGACAGTAGCACCGTAAACGCTAGCTGCCACCCGCCAATTAAGAAGAAGAAGAAGAAGAAGAAGGAAAAAGATGAAGCAAGAAAAACACCGCTCGCAGTTAACGACGACGCTCTTTGACCACAGTTGCCCATGCACGCAGTTTCCGTGTGCATATGAGTTTAGTGAAAATGTAGGTGATTGTGCAGTCAGAGGTGGTGCCAAAAAAAGAACCCTTTCTGCGCCGAAATATAATGGAATTAATTTTGATTCAGTTTGCTGCGATACGAACCGGATACTTCATACTTGACCAAAAAGTTAATTTAAAAATTGTTACCTGAATTAAAAATAAATAAATAAATCAATCTGACGTTGAAATGAAAAGTGTTGTATTTGTAAGACTGACTATGAAAATAAACAGAATTTATTTTTCAGTGAGGATCAAATACAGTTTCAAAGAAAAAAAATCCATCCTTTTCAAATTCAAATTGTTCAATTCAGATTCAGTTATTCAATATGATTCAGATTAAAATATACAAATCCATCCATTATCCGAGCCACTTAACTTCAGTTTATGTAATTCAAATTCGGGATAAACTATTGGAATCTAAGTTCTTCACATTTATTTTTTTGTGGCAAATATTCCACCCTACAGTGTCACACATAGTTTAAGAAATTTCAAGTGTTACTTTGACTGACCATTCATTGGTAATGCAGTCATCTCGTTACCTCTGCGTCCCGCGTCCTCGACGCATAATTTTCTCGCGGGACACACAGTTCCAAAAAATGTGCGTTTTTGGGACGCAAGGAAATTTCTCACTCAAAACAAACAAACAAACAAAAAAACTACGGTACATCTTTTTTTCCAGTAACGCAGTCCCGCAGTTCGACAATCGCCGCCATTGTTGTTTTGATCTTGCGTTAAGTCATCTCGCGTGATGAGGTTTCCGTTCTCGAGAGACGAGATTGGCGAGGTCAGCGAGATCGGCTTTCAACCTCGCGGAAAGCAGACGATTGCCAAGTTGTGCAACATTAATACAAGTGTTGCGAACAAGTGTTGCGAAAGTTTATTTGCTGAGATTGTCACGTTTTGCAAAGTGGTAGATGGAGGACCCCAAAAAGTAGGGAGGCAGGGAGGAGCAGGGTGGAGTGACCAAAATGTATTTCACAAAAAATATACACAGGAGTACAATGGAAAAAACACTCAGTCGAAGGAATCAAAAAATGCCTGTAAATCACAAGTATCAAACAAAACTACAACAGGAAACAAAACATGACAGGAGCACACGTATGCTCACATACTCACAGCTCACAATGACGCAAAAAAGACTGACAGAAACTCAGGGAACTAAATTCAAGCATGCTTCTGCTAACCCTGTATTCCACGTCATGTTCTATATTCCAAAATGGAGCCCAAATGAAGGATGTTTTTTGGGATAAGGTATTTTGCATCTTAAAGTTTCCCCCCCCCCCAACACGACCCCAGGTTGCAAACAAGTTCATATGTCATGCATGCGTTCACATTTGTGATCTCACATTTGTTCAGAGCTGTATGTGCAGCACCTACATGACAGATGGAAGCTGTTTGTGGTGGGCTTTTGACCACTAAGTCTGTTTACTCAGAAGAGTGCTAAGGGTGGTTATCAACAGGAAACGTGAGGGCAGGTTAATACATGGAAGAAAGAACCAAAGACATTCGGAATTGTCTGAGGGGTTATCATTTAATAGTCACCACTGGAGCTACTGGATGTTCAGTAAAAACTTGTTTTTTGAAACCAGAAAAGCACTCAGGAGAGCTGAGAGCACAGACATCTGCAAAGGTGGAAAGATAATATTGTGCATACCAACATAAAGGATTTCAGTCAAATAGTTGAAAGAAGACACATGATGGGCAGCACAGTGGGGAGGAGTGGTTAGCACGTCGGCCTCACAGTGCAAAGGTGCAGGGTTCGATTCTGCCCCCGCCTTCCTGTGTAGAGTTTGCATGTTCTTCACGTGCCTGCGTGGGTTTTCTCCGGGTACTCCGGTTTCCTCCCGCATTGTAAGAACATGCATGGCAGGTTAATGGAGCACTCTAAATTGTCTCCAGGTGGGAGTGCGGATGGTTGTTCATCGATGTGTACCCTGCGATTGGCTGGCAACCAGTTGAGGGTTTGCCCTGTGTACTGCCCGAAGACAGCTGGGGAAGGCTCCAGCATGCCCGCGACCCTCGTGGGGACAAAGCAGTTCAGATAATGGACGGATGGAAGACACATTATGCATTTTTTTTCAGTTTATTCAAACACTTCCCAGGCGTTTGAATAAACATTGAACAGTGAACAAACATAAACATCCTCTGTCATAATACACAAAGGCTAAAGAATTTCTTAATGTCCACTTCTGTTTCGCAACTTTACCGACCCTTCCAAAGATGTTTAAAGAACAAAAAACGACGCACGACACATGTAGTGACTTTTTGTAGTGCTATTGGAGATAACAAAGGAGGAGACGTTCACTCCTCTACATCCAGACTGAAAATAAATGGCACTTGCCCAAAACCACCACAGACAAGAGAAAGTGAAAGGGTGAACATTACAGTGAATGACGTAGAAAGAATTATTGCGCAATGCTGCACAGCTCCTTTCAGGGTCTGGCCTCACGTTTAACATGTCCTTGTGCCTCAACAATTTTGTGACATGGGTTGCAAGCTACCTTGAAGACGGCTTTGCGTGGTAAAATCTTCTGAAGAGCATCTAACGATGGCACAGTATGGTACTACGGTATAAATGTTGACTCAGATTTGACTGTGAAGGTGCCCAACAAGTCTCAAGGTGGGGTTCTGAAATAACCAAAGTAGAGCTAAGACCGTGTACGCAATGTCTCTCTGACTCATTTGACTCTGTGGACTGACATGAACGGAATGTAGCCAATGGAAGAATCGGCAAAACGGGCCTCGTAGATTTGCTTGCTTCAAGATTCCCATGTGCCGTTATTTATTTCAGTTGTATTGTGGTGACACAAGTGAGAACAACACATGTTAGGTGATGATGCAGA